GGAAATGGGGGCACCTTAAGTGGGAAAACCATGATGGAGGGGTGAGACAATGCGAGAGATAAACAATGCCTAGCTATTTTTAAAAATCAGAGGGAACCATATTACTCCTACAACCTACTGACAAATTATACATAGGAGATCAAGAAATATATGTCTAGGTAAGGTTTATCTGAGAACAATTGGTCTTTGCCCAAGATTTATCTACATGACACACAGTAATTAAAAGTACCAGACTGGTGGAACTAACCTTCTTGGATGTTTAACAGACATACTTTGAGGCCTATAATAATTTGGTCAGAGGGACATAAAGGACAGTTTTTGCTCCTTGCCCTCCTAGGTCACCTAGTTCCAGGGGACTATGAGCATCTCTCAAAATGTCCTATAATGGTGGTAGGTTGCCTATCCTCTTGATCAAGGAGGCCAAGGAGACCCCACCAGATGGACTTGAACCAGTGTCCAGTCTACAAAGAGGAGGGTCAACACAGAGGAATCATTTCCTCTATGCTTCCAGGTGAAGCCAACCATGGTTGTTCAGGTCCTTTGACTTCTCTTCATATAGGCGGAACTGGTAAAAGAAAGGAGCCAGGGGCTCCTCCCAAGCCCATCTGACCCCTGAGGAACAGATCCTCAAACGACCTTAAGAGTAAAAATAAATTGGTTTATCTGGGCCAACTGTATGGCCTTCAACACCCAAAATGAAAGTATAACCAAAAATTAAAGGGGCCAATATAATTTCTTAAGCATCCATATGCATAGCTAAAGGCTACATAACAAGCAACAATGCCAGATAGGAGATGCCTTCTTTTTAGTTGATGGCCAGGGTGGCCGAAGGGACTCCCAGATAGTAACCCAGCATAGAACTGGGAAAATGAACAGCAGACCCCAATCTTATCTAAAGGAATATTGCCAAATGATTACTGCTAGATGAGGAACAGCTGACCTTCCTAAAACAAAGACCTCTAGATAGGCTGACTATATTCACCAGAAGGGCAAGTAGTAGGGAATGGCTGGGGGTGTCGACAACACAGCAGACAGTAGCAGGGATATCAGAATATAAGGGCTCTAGTGGGGGGAGGGAGGCTATCGGACGGTGCCATGTGGGAAGTAGGTGTATAGTTGAATGAGGGTTTCAGATGTTCTGTGTGATATATACACACACCAAAAAAAAATCAACAAATTTTAAAAAATGTATTATATTTGAGGAAGAAGCATGGACATTTACATCATGTTAATTAGTAGAGGTGATAAACATTACCATTGAAATCTACCCGATGACTTTATAGATATACACAGGTGCCAAGGATCCAAGTGCAACCAATTATGACTAGTAATAATCAGATACATACAGGTTAGAGATGCATGCGCCAACCTCTAAGTGTAACGCAAAAACAATGAGTCTTTCTGCAAGGAACAATATATTCTAAAATGAAATGGAGATCTTTTTTAAAGGTTAAAAAACTCATTCAATTTTATGCCTTACAGGGCTTATACTGAATTCAATATTGTGTAACTGTATTAACTCAACTGTTCTAAAAGTTTACCACCAGTTTTAAAAGAGATGCATCTTTCTCTGGAAATTGTTATTGAATATGTCAATGCTGTTGTAATGAAATTCTTCTAAATATGCGGTTATTAAATAAATAATTAAATAATAATAAGGGGGCTAGAGAGATGGCTTAGCGGTTAAGAACACTGGTTGTTATTGCAGAAGACCCAGGTTCGAATCCCAGCACCCACATGGCACTAACAGCTGTCCATAAGTCCAGTCCCAGGGAATCTAACAGCCTCTTCTGACCTCTGCGGGCATTGCAAGACACAGGTGCACTTACCTACATGTAGACAATACACGAATACACATAAAATAAAAATAATAAATAAAATAGTTTAAAATAATAGCAATAATAGGGGATGGAGAGGTGGCTCAGCGGTTAAGAGCACTGACTGCTCTTGCAGAGGAAGGGGTTCGATTCCCAGTACCCACATGGCAGCTATGAACCATCCTTAACTCCAGTTCTAGGGGAATCCAAAGCCCTCTCTGACCTCTGCGGCATTGCACTCACATACATGGTAAGTGCCTTTATAGGAAATTAGAGCAATAAAAAGTAAGTTGTAACCAGCAGCACACCTTTGATCCCAGCACTGGGGAGGCAGGCAGATCTCTGTGAGTTCAAGGCTGGCCTGGTCTACATAGCGAGCTCCAGGCCAGCTGGGGCTATAGGGAGACCCTGTCTCAAAAAGACCAAAATAATGATAATAATAATAATAATAATAATAATAATAATAATTTTTAAAAAGCAAGGTGAATCTGATGAACTGAGTCGATGCATGAAAATTCTTAGTTCTTAGAACAGCCTGGTGCCTGCCCAGTGTTACTATTGCCAACCTTGCCCTGGCTGCCTGAAAATATTAGAGAAGAAGGGCTGCATTAGGAGACCAGTGTGGTAGGTCATCCTGAGGACTGGATTAAAGAGGTAACCCTCTTGTATCTAGGCAAAAGCAAACCACATAAATGTTATGAGTGACTTCCTTATGACTGCAGCCTGCTAAGGAACTCCAGGTGTGTGTTGACTGCAGACTTCTCTGGCTCTAGTTGCTCATAAGCAGCTAACTTCCTGCCAGAAAAGAACTGTGACACCCCTGGGTAAATGGAGGGGCTGTTTTGGTTTCTGCTGGTTGTTTCTGTGTTTGATGGTGCTGCTTTGTTCATTGAGATCTAGAAGGCCTTTGGGAGACCTTAATGGAACGTGCTGGAGCTTCTGAGACTTGTCTTTGCTCAGGACCCAGGTGCATAGGGCCTCCACCCACTGAGAGGCTCAGAGCCATGTCCAGTGTTTTCAAGAGTAAGATAAGCATCCTGGGCTTGTGGGAATGGAAGGACAGCTTCCTGAGTCATCACTATGAAGGTCTGGACTGCTGCCCTCATGCACCCCTTGCTTATACAAGAAACAGCATAGACCACGCCTCCGCACTCACATACACGATCTTCAAACCTGAGAACCATAAGGCTTTTGGCATACAGATTATGTTGAGTCAGAGCATGTTATTGGATGTAGTTGCTGTTAGAATTGTAGGGAAGGCTGAAGATGTTCAGCAGGCAGTGTGAAAGATTAAGACTGTACAACTCCAGAAACCATAAGCTCAGCAACTTGGTCACGTCAGGGCCTGGGGAAAGCCGAGTGTCCTGCCAGAGCCTCAGGAAGGTCACCACACCCTGGAGAAGGGAGGTCTCACCTAGCCCTTCTGATTAGGAGTTCTGTGACTTGAGAATATCCCCCAGAACATGTGTTGGAAACAGAACCCCCAGTGCAATATTGTTGGGATGGGACCTGTGGGAGGTGACAAGACTGTGAGGACTCCACCTTCATGAATGTAGTTTATAGGCTTGAGGCTGCACGTTTGATCTCTTATCTCCCAGGTAACATCTTCAGCCATGCTGTAACAGCAAAAAGGCCTTCACCAATATGGCCCTTCAATCTTGATCTTTCCAATAGCATGAGCCCACGAACATCTGTCTATTATAGCAGCACAAACAGACTAACAGGTCAAGTCCTATTAGCATTTTCTCCCTTCTCTGGAAATCCTTATAAACCCATGAAAAGTATCCACACCCAACTAAGGCCCATGCCACATCTGGTCGGTGTCAGTCTGAAAAGTGAAAGAACGCTCTTACCAAGGTGTCTGGGAGGACGACAGTAGGGCAGCAGGAGTACCGGAGCAGCTGGCCCATCTTCCAGAAGGAGAAAGGCACCACCACAAGGATGAGCATGAAGCCAACAAATGCGAATAGAGCCAGCACCAATGGGAGAGACTCTCCTGCAGACAAAGCAGAGGACTGGGCTTAGGAAGAACAGGAGAGGGAAAAGTCGGGGCTCCTGGGGCTTCCTGGAGTTGGCTCTGCATTCAGGCCAATATGGCAGGTGCTAGTGCTCCGAGGTTTGGTGCGTGCCCTTAATGGCTAAAATTACTACCACTTTTCTAGAATCTCAAATTAAGGTTTCCAGAAAGCCTCAGGGAAAATTACAATCTCTGTCTTGGGAAGAGGAGGGAGGAGAAAAGGCACTGGCCTGTTAGCACATACCTGGCACTACTGCCAGAGGAAGGCGGGGTGCCAGGCCTCAGGCAGGATGAGGGGGAGGTGCTGAAGAAGAAGAGCCCAGAACAAGGCTGGGCGGAAACCAAAAACAAAGTGTTTCATAATTTGCTCTTGGCACTGACTCATTACAGAGGAAAATGTTAAGTCCAAAAAGCAGTCAAATAATAACTGTGATATTTCAAGCCCCCATTATGAAGGCCAGGGCTGCTTCCTTCTTCCAGCACTCTGTTACAGGACAGGCCTCTGCTCTTCATAATTTGTATCCCTTTCATATAAAAGGATTCTATGCTCAGGGTGCTTAAGCCGTTTACCTTGGGTCATACCGGTGGGGCCAGCTCCAAGGCCCTTGATCAGTTTGCTAACAAATGTAGGAACAGGGGCTTGGGGCTGAGCACCTGGATGCAGAAATGGGAATGGGCTATTTTCCCACCTCTCTGTTCTATGTAGCCTCAAGCAACCTGTTTATTACCTCCAGCCTGGGCCATTCACCTGCCAATGTGAAGGGTGACTGGGCCCATGAGGCTGTAGCAACTTACATGTGGGTGGGGCACGGGCATTGTATCAATGCTTTTGGAAAAATACTTTGGCAGTAGACATCAAGAGATATACAGTGTTCATATCCTTTCAATCCACTCCTGGGATTTCAATTCAAAAACATCATTCCAAGGAAGGAAACAATTACGTGTATCAGTCAGTTCATAGGAATGTCCGGACTAGCGCCACAGCCTCGTCACAGTTCACCTTCTTTGTCCAGTGGTGGCCTGCTTCTCATGCCATTTCTGTGTGCTATGACTCCCTTCACAGAATGCCCCACACAAACCAGAAAGCATCTCATGTGCTCATCAGGTTGTAGATTGTGTCCACAACTGAAGAGAAGCTCCATTACACCAGGAACTCTCTTTTCTACCCCAACGCACAGGCCAGGACTTGGCACACACTCAATGCTCAATAATTAATAATGCAAATAATTAATGGAAGGATGAACACCATCTTTATGAGCAAATGAACCATAAGAATATACTATATGTCCAAAGTAATGGCTTCAAGCAAGAAGTTATACTGGGAGTGATTTAAATACCAAACAAAAACAGAGTGATTTAAGACACAATGGCACATTGGCATGGCAGGTCAGTATTCAGCTATTAACAAGAGAAATATGATATTAGACATCTACTACAACATAACTGATAACAGCAAAGACTGGAAAGTACACCACATTACCAGTAATAAAGAGTTCCATGTATTGGCTTGCTGTGAGTCATTAAACAGTGAAGTAGAAGGTTATATGAGGAGCAGGTTACAATGTGCTAGAAAGTGAAGATGAGCCAGGTAAACAGAATGGGAACAACCCAATCCCATGTGTAGAAAAAGCCCCGGAATCACTCAGACAACAGTGAGAGAGTAAATGCCAGACTTATCAACAGAAATGCATTCATTACTTTTCTCATTTCAGGGACCAAATACCTGACAAGAAGCAACTTAAAGGGAGAAAGAGTTTATCTGGGCTCAGTACATCATGACAGGGAGGCATGGTGCTGGGAGTGATTCTCCCCTGGGGGCAGGGGTGTGAGGCTGCCTCCTTACAACTACATAGCTCAGGAAAGAGACGGGAGAGGAAGCAGGGCTGACCTATAATATAGCCGCAAGTGCCACTCCCTAGAGACCCACTTCCTCCAGGTAGGTCCCACTTCCCAAAGGTTTCACAGCTTCCTGAAAAACTGACACCAGCTGGGGACTAACTGCTCAAACACATAAGTCTATGGGGAACAGTTCACATACAAATTATTACAGGAATTCTCTTGAGTAGCATGGGGAGGAATGGACAATACTTAACTCTTACTTTTTATATTTCTGTGTTGTTTTGATTTGTTTTTCAACAAGCCTGATAGATGATTTTTTAAAGCACTAATAAATGGTACTTAGAAAATCTGCATGAAAAATGTTATGATTATATTTGTGAAAAAATGGGCACAATGTGTGTTACATGTTGCTACAGTATGTGTCTATACGTGAGTGATGACTGAACAATCACAAGTCTTTGGAGGGAAATTTTTTTAACTAATTAATTTTTATTGTATGTGTACTAGTGTTTTGACTGCATGAATGTAAGTGTACCACATATGTGCAATGCCTGTGGAGGCCAGAAGACAGCATCAGATCCCCTGGAAATGGAGCTAGAAAGGGTTGTTGGCTACCATGTGGATGCTGGGAACCAAAGCTGGGTCCTTGCAAGAACAACCAGTGCTTTTTACTGCTGAGTCATCTCTTCAGCCCTAATAGAGGGCAATTTTAAAACAGTGATCAAAATTAAATGAATGTACTTTTGAACAAGCCAGTCTACTTCCAGGAATTTATCACTCAAACATACCAGCAAAATGATCTATAGGCAAAGAAATTAACTAATTCATTGGCTGCAACAGCAAAATATTTGGGAGAAAGCACAATGCCCATCAATAACAGGCTAGTTAAATTAGTCACTATACACACAATAGTATTTGGTGATAAAGAAAAATGATAACATTTCTTTATTCATATGGAAGCCTCTACAAGATACAGAAAGTGAAAAAGAGGCAAATCAGTGTATATGCCACTGTTCTCACCTAAAAGAAGATATACATAAGCACATATTTACATATGTGTACCCTCACTTACTTGTATATGAATTAAAAAGTCTTTCAAAGAATATACAAGAAACTCAGATTGGTGAGAAAGGATGTGGGACCTATATGAGTGGAGAAGAACGTGGGAAAAAGAATGCACGCAGATACTTTGTGTTGTGAACCGTAAGAATACACTATATGTCCAAAATAACAGCTTTAAGCAAGAAGTTATACTGAAAAGTATGATAATGGTGTTTGAGTGACAAGATCATGGACTGTAAGGTTGTGTTTAGTTCTGTTTCTTTTCAAAGGTTTTTTTTAGCCATTGTAGGTTTTTTATACTACAAAAAATTCAAGGGAGCCTGGAAAGGTGCCAGTAAAGTGCCCACCACACAAACATGAGGGCCTGAGTTTGGATCCCCAGCACACATGTAAAATCCAGGAGTGGCAACTGTTACCCTAGTGCTAGAGGCAGTAGGGGGCAAGGGGAGAGACAGGCAGATCCCTGGAGCTCACTGACCAGTCAGTGTAGCCCAATGAGTTCCAGGTTCCGCGAGAGGCCCTGTCTGATTAAATAAGGTGGGCAGTGATAGAGGAAGATATCCTCTGGCCTCCACATGCACATGTTCACAGGTATAAGTATACCCACACACACACACACACACACACACACACACACACACCCCACACACAAATTTCAAATTCAAGAGAAAAAACTTAAGAGGATCTCATAGACTTTCAATGAGGTCCTTTTCAGATGATAGAAGTGATGTCGTGCCTCCTTCCAAGTTCTGACTGAAGCCCCAGCTGCCCCTTCTATAGCCACTTCTGACCACAGCAGTTACCCTCTGGCAAGCCAGCCTTGCAACATCTGCCCCAGGACCAGAAGGCTTTGGGGGAAGGTGCTCCAGACAGCTGCTCAAGAAGCCCCACTCAGCCCCAGGGTGGACTCCTGCCTGTGTAGGAACTAGAGTGACCTGTACATTGCCACCCCCAAACTTTCCCAGTCTGGAAGCAGGTATGTAAAACCAAGGGAAGACTCAGAACCAAAGGCACCCAGTGGGCATCCAAGCATGTGCCAGGGAGGGTTGTCATCTGTACAGGGACCCAGGGATAGGCACGTTGTCCTTACCTTGCACCTCCACACACTCAGCCTGGTTGAAGGCACTGTGCTTCCCAATGGCTTTCACCAGCGCCTCGGCCTTCACACAGTACATAGCCCCTGGTTCCATGGTTTCCAGGTGCACAGGAAGGCCCCCAGTCATCACCTTGACATGTTCCTTTGGGAGACCAGAAATATAGTTACTCCCTGGAGACAGGAGAGCTGGGGAGGGAAAATTACAGCTGGTTCTTTTCTAGAACACATAACATTTGTTCTTGTCCATGCATGGAGGCAATCATTTCCTCATCCATCCACTCATACTCATTAAGCCTGTAGTATGTGCCAGACACCGTCCTTGGCACAAGCACATAGCACTAAACAAAACGCATAAGGCCTCTGCTCTGACGTATCTTACGTGCAGGAAACAAACACTACATGAATATATGCCAGGTGGTGATTAGGGCTGCGAAGAAGAAGAGAGGGAAGGGCAGAGAGAGTGACCAGGAGGCACTATGGGAAACAGGCTAGGGAAAGCTTCTCCAAAAGGACATTTGGGCAGAACCAGTCCACCTGTCTTTCCACCTTTCAACTCCCACCCCCACCCCTAGGTCTATTCTCTACATCTGAGCTTGTAGAAGCTTGTGTGGCCCAGCCCAGATGACTCAAGATACACACTCCTCTCTCAGCACTGAGCCACCCTGTTATAAGGGTGGGGAGTAGGCTCTACTCCAAAAGATCTGAGGTTGCTACATGCTTCCTCCTGCTAGGCCCTGGCCTATCCCAACCCCCGCTCCATCTATCTGGTTGGCAATGTTATATCCTACCAGTGTGCCCCGATCCAGCAGGGCATATTGCCCTGTGGTCAGCCCCACCTGTGCACACCACCTTCCAGGGGGAACTACCCAACCTATACCTGCTGCTGAGGGCACACAGGGGCATGTGCACAGTCTTCAGACACGGCTGTGATAAGCAACTGGCAGCCTGAGAAGGGTCCCCATGGAAATCAACTGGCTGCCTGCAACCTCCATGGCTTGGACTGGTAAGATGAACACATAAATAGTGTTCCTCTCTGAAGGATTTCATCTCAGAAAACTGAGTAACATGAGCTGGACATTGGGACAAAAGAGAGAAGACTGGGTGAAGAGGATCAGTTTGAGATGCTTTGGGGCATCAAAGAGACACAGTTGTAGGAATATGTGGGAACTGGTGACCAAGGAACAAGACCTGGGAGTGATGTGGAGAGGCCACAGAAAGATTATCTATGAGGGGGGCAGCAAAGTCCCCACAGGCCAGGGTCCCTGAGTAGATAAGACAGCTACTGCCTGTCCTCTGTGAGGCTCTGCTCACAGATTTGCTGAGAGTTCCTGTTGCCCATATTGAACCTTATGAGAAAGCTAGCTTTCCTTGTGCCCACTGGAGGGGACCTTTAGGCCTTGTCACCATATCAGTTTGAAAGGGTTACATAGAACACAACATTCCCTATGTCTGCTAGAGCTCCACCCCACTGCTGCCGCCGCTGCTGCTGCTGCTGTTTGTCTGACCATCCCTCCATGAAGGCTGACCTCCTACTCACCCAGACTATAGCAACCTTCCCAAAGGGAGGAGCAGCCCCGTTCCAGGCTTTCTGCATGGCCCACCAGTTCATAATTAAATGGGTTTATTCACAAGCCTTGTTGATGCACTTTTGCACTCTGCCCAGAAACGTGGCCTCAAGAGGTTTGTGCCTACCTCCTTGCTTTTGAAATCATCCAGAACACCCTGAACTGGAACATTCTGGCCTTTTGCCCCAGGTGCCTGAGACCAGTTGATGAGGGAGGAAAAAAAATGCATTGAAAAAATATTAGTGGGGCTGGAGAGATGGCTCTGCAGTTAAGAGCACTGACTGCTTTCACAGAGGACCCAGATTCGGTTCCCAGCACCCACATGGTGGCTAACAACCATCTGTAACTCCAGTTCCAGGGGCTCTGTCACCTTCTTCCACAGGTGTACTTAATACATTTGCAAGCCAAATACTCATATACATAAGATAAATAAATAATTTCTTTTCTTAAGGTTAGGTATCCAGCTAGGCTAGGAGTAGGGCATGGAAGGCAGCCTCCAAATTTCAGCAGAGCTGGCTGAAAAGGCTCTGGCCAAAGCCTGGGATAAAACAAGACAAGTCTTTGAAGAGGCTGAGGGATAGTCACTGTACTGTCATCTCTCCTTTTGCACTCTTCACCCATATAAGGCCACTTTTGTCATGAGCATTACAGGGCTGGCCTTACTCCCTTACCCTCAGAAAGCTTTGCCCATCACTGCTAACATCAGTCAGAAGCCTCACCTTGGCACCAGGCTCCTCCCTCCAGTACACCACAAGGAACTCAAAGTGGGGCCCCAGGTCTTCCAGTTCAATAACCAGGTGCAAGCCATCCTTGGTGACCTCCATCCTGGGTGGGGTAAGGACAGCTGTCGGCAAGAGAAAGGAAGAATCAAAGCCAGCCCCAGACAGAACTGATTTCCTGGGACAAAATGACTGTGCCATCATGAAAACATGGCAACCCTGTGGGCAAGAGAGGGGGATCAACTGAGGGGTCCCAGTGTAGAATCATATATATGTGTTCTCATGCATTCCATGGATGTTCATAAAATGCTTTTAAAAATATTTGTCTTCTGGGGCTGGAGAGATGACTCAGTGGTTAAGAGCATTGGCTGCTCTTGCAGAGAACCCAGGTGGTTAACAATCATTTGTAACTCCAGTTCCAGGGAATCTGATGCCCTCTTCTGACTTCCAAGGGCACCACACGACTTAGGTGCACTTTCACACATGCAGGCAACACATTCGTATACAAAAAGTAAAAATAATTTTAAAAATTTGTTTTCTTTAGTGTGTGTGTGTGTGTGTGTGTGTGTGTGTGTGTCTGTGTCTGTGTGTGTCTGTGTCTGTGTGTGCACATGCTATATATAAAGAACACGGTGAGGACAATTCTTTCCTTCTACAAGTGGATCTACAGGGATTGAACCCAAATCACCAAGCTTGGTGGCAAGTGCCTTTACCCACTGAGCCATCTTATTGAACCTCATAAAAAATTTTTTTGAACGATGAATGAGTGGAAAAGAAATGACAAAGACTTGACTACCGTGAAGTCATCTGTTCCTTTAAGAACATATGCTCAAGAAAAAGGACTAAGAACTCAAGTAAACACTATACTTCCCTTTTAAAACCATACGCTTTGGCTTCTCTCCCCACCACCATGTCTTAGCAGACATTGCCCTTTACTTTGACTCATCTAGCGAGCAGATGCTGTTCCTTAATGCTTGCTGAACACCTGCCTGAGCCCTGGTCTCTGTTGAGCACAGCCAGGCCTGGGTTTTGCACCTTGGGAATGAACATGTCTGACAGGGCCAACCCTGTGCATTCCTACCACACACATAGACCACATACTGGCACCACATAACTTGTAGACATCAGCAAATCAGCAGCTTAGATAGCTTGGCCCTTCTATTCTTGGCCCAAGGATTCTTCACCTCACAAAAACTGTCAGCAAGTCAGAGGCTTCTTACAAATTCTGACAATCAACTCTAGAAATTACAACCATGCTTTACATTACAGGTTCCCAAATACAGAGGCCAGGAGCCCCTGAGGACATCGTCCCATCGACATGCCAAGAACAGAAGGGCCTACATAGGCTGCCTCTCCTGCCTGGCTACAGATGATGGATCTGTAACTGGTCTTGTAGATCTAGAGGCTGCAGGACCAGAAGGAGCACTGTTATTGTTGATCTTGCCTTGGAAAGTAGAATGGGATGTGTCATGAGCTGAATCTCTCTGCGCTGGGGTCAGAGGACATTGAGAAGAAAGGCATCTATCTCCTAGAGGGAGCTTTCAGAGAGCAAAGCATTTCTTCCTCATTATCATTGCTAGAGAAAATATCCTGGGGTTTAGCGTTGCCCTGGAGGGGACAGGGAGACTTGGAAAGTCAGGTCAACTGAAAACATAGCCAGTCCAGACAGAGGACCAACAGCACAGCCTCTGCAGCACCTGACCAAGAAGAAGGTCTGTGAGAAGAAAGTCACTCACAATGGGAATCTGGTCCTCTGATCACCATCTTTTAAACAGATGACATAACCTGGAGTGAAGTTCCAGTCTAAAGAGTAACCTTTTTGGCAGTGTTGAGGCAAAAACCTACATCCTATGTATTTTGTATACTTGGCTCATTTAATCTACCCAGAAGCTCCAGAGAGTAAATGCTGTTTCTGTTGTACAGCAATGTTAAGGGACTTACCCAGAGTCTCACAGCTAAGGGCCAGAATCTGACCCCTTGTCAGTCTATATTTCTATCTCCTATGTGAGGTGTTCATCCTCTGTACTACAGAATCACTGCCCTGGCTGCAAGTGACAATAACCTGGGTAGAAGTTTAAATTCCCAAATAAGTGGATGCACACACATCACTTAAATGAGACCCATTGGGAATGGCCCCAGACAAGCAGCCTTAAAGTTCTTACGTGACCTGTAGTACACAATCAAGGTTGAGAGTATCTTCCCTCAACAAAACTGAGAACAGGAGATCCTCTTCAGGAAAACCACAAAACAAGGCTTTCTCATGTCAAAGAAGTCAGAGTGGCTTTCTCAAATGGAAACAGGCAGATGGATGCCCTTTAAGAGATCCCAATGCTGTCCTAGATGGGTTGCTGACTCCAGTATACCCCAGACCTCCAGGAGCCTGTCTCCCCACCCTCTGGAGCATGTGCAAACTCCTGTTCTTCAACTTCTCCTTTTCCTGTTTATGCTGGCCTGTAAAGCACACATTTCACTGCCCAGCCCCTCCCACATAGCTCTGCGGGCACTCCCTGATCTCCATCTGACCTGGCCTTCCTTCTAGCAACAGCTGCCAGATCCTGGGCAAGATATTGGTTGGAGCCCCAGGGTCCCAGGTGTCAGAGGAAGTGGTGCTGGGTGCTGCCTGGGCTCTGTGGACAGAGGCAGTATTACAGGGCCCTCCAGTACCCCTAGGCCTAAGAGTGCCTGCCCTGGGATCCTGCCACTTGAACCAAATCCTCCCAGGGCCTGGGAAGGATGTCTAGTCAAGGAGCCCACATTTTTCAAGATAAGTCTCCCTGCATTCCATTTCAACAGTCCTCTATGCCTCTTCCCTCTTCTGCTTGCTGGCTCTCAGCTGGCATCCTTAGAGCAATAATAGTAATAATAGTAACAAAGTTGAGTGCTGTGTTATGACTGTGTTAAGCACTGACACATTTCATCTCATGTGGGTCCCACAACTATCCCACGAGGCAAAATGTTGTCCCTCTTACAGAAGAGGAAGTAAGTACATAGCTATCAAGTACCCAGGCTGGGATTTGAACCAACCCTTCAATTCCACGGGACCAACTTCCCCTTTAAAGCTATGTCCACCTTCTTCAATCTCTTCTGGTTTCGGATCTCTCAGCTTCTAAACCCTCCTGATGCCCATTTAACATCTCTGCTCCTCAGTAAGTTTAACTCTTCCTATCAGGGCATATGTTACACCAAATCTTCATGAGTCCTCACTTCAATTACATCTGCTACATGAAGAAAACCCATCACTTGCCCTTGCCCTTCCACAGCTCTTAGCATCCCCGCCCACTTCCCACTCAGAACAGGAGCTGCCTGGCTCTTTCCACCCTTCCCATCGCAGCCAGACTGTCATCCCCTTCGTATTGTAAGGTCACTTTCTCAAGCACCACCCAGGAACTGCCTCCAGTCTATCGTGTCCTCTCCTCCACAGCCTCCCCAATCACCTGTTGGTGACCTGCCTCTGCCTGCATTTTAAATCCTAGGGATTCCCAGGACCCCATCCTGAGGTCTCTTTGTCCTACCTGTGTTGTCCCTGGACAATTGCTTCTACTTCCAGGCCTTTGGCTACTGACTCTGCATAGGGTTTGGCCTTCACCTTCAAGAGCCCCAGGGCCTGATTTCCAGCTTCCAGTCAAATATCCTCAGCATGCCAACCTTAGTACCAAAGAGCACAGAGACACAAGGGTCTCCCATTCCTGAGAACTAGTTGGCCCTCTTGGGTTCTCTGCCTTGGACAGCATTCTCACCAACCCCAGGAGAAGCTGGTGGTTCTGTTTTCTCAATCCATCCCCTGGTAACTGGCCTCCAAGCACTGTTCATTCTAACCTGGCCATGTCTCCTGAATTCATACTCTCCTCCCCATCTCCTCTGCTGCTCTGGAGATCAGAACCCATCTTGGCTTAGTTGGACAGTAACAATCCCCTCTTCACTCTTCCCCTGCCCTCCTCCAGGTCCCTCTCCCCACAATGGCCATGGTGCTTGCTCAGTAAAACATGGCTCAGACCCTCTCCTCTTCCATAGCTCCCGTCCGCTGTCTTGATTAAGCTTCGCTACCCTCTGCCCATGCATCCCTCACTCTGTCCATCCATCCCTCATTCTGCCCATGCATCTCTGACTCTGTCCATCCATCCCTCACTCTGACCATGCATCCCTCACTCTGTCCATCCATCCCTCACTCTGACCATGCATCC